ACGCGCCACCAGCTGGCATTGTTTTACTTGGGATGAACGTTAACTCCTGGACGACGACAGACACTGTGGCCAACTGGTTCAGGGACCTCTCGGCCAAAAGTGAGTCCAGCCCTTGGGGGCCACAAGTCAGTCAGGGCAGATTCCCGATCGTGACGGTTCAGGAGTCCAGGTTAAAAGCGGCCGGCAAGATCCTTGGGGCCGAGAGCTGGGCCACGTCTCACGGTTATCGGTTGTCTCTCGGCAAGGCGCTAGCTACTGAGAGTGGGCCCTTGCAGAGCTCTGGAGGAGTGGGCATCCTAGTGGACTCTCAGTTTGGGTCTCGTCACTTGGTGCTCCCAAGTCTTGGACACGTTGAAGGCCGCATTGCAGACAGGTTTATCAACATTGGGTTCCCCATGGGCTTGGAGTTCTATAGTGTCTATCTCACCAACGACATAGGTGCCGCGGGGGAGAATTTAGAGATCCTCGAGATTTTAGGTGCGATCCTGCTGTGCAGCACGCGTGCCTGGGTAGTGCAAGGCGACTGGGATGCCACACCTGGTGCCCTGGCGCTGTCGGGTTGGGTCGAGCACGTGAACGGGGTCACGGCTGCCCCCGACTCGCCCACGCGCTTGCCTTCGCAGCGCAGCCAGCAGGAGGGAGGAGGACGAGAGCATGTTGTTCACGACAAGGGAGGGCGAATATTGGATTACTTTGTTGTGAGCAAAGCGATTGCTAGCCGTGTTGGCGAGGTGCAGGTAGTCAGTGAGGCACCACTGTTTCCCCACAGCCCTGTTGTCTTGCGGATGAGAGACCTCAGCGAGTCCACGACTGTGGACCAGCAGGTGCGTTTCAAGCCGTTCGACATGACGGTAATGGGCCCCCTCCCAGACGAGCGCGCAGTCGAGTGGTCTGATCCCGTTGAGCACGGATTCGAGTGGCTAGCAAAGGAATGGTTCTCCGAGGCTGAACGCCGTCTTTTGGACATTCATGTGATTGCGGGCGGCAGGGCCTGCATTGGCCGCGCTGCAGGGCCCAAGACTAAGAGGGCCCCTTATATCGGCACTGCTGGAACGAAGCGCGCGGAGAAGGTTTTCAGCACAGACCACTTCCTGGAGTGCTTTTGGGGCCCTGATCAGGAACGCGAGTACGGTAGCCTGTGGGGTCCCAGGGGCCAAGGGAAAGCAGCTCTTAGGCGCCTGGAACGCCAATCTCAAGGCTATCACCCAGGATTTGGATTTCCAGAGCGACATCGTGAGCCAGACTTCGCTCCAGGGGATGGTCGCGTTGGCGACCAGTTCGGGAACCTTTGGGGACGGGGCCTTGGAGGCGCTGGGCACTGAGATTGCTCGTCGCCAAAAGCTGGACGCAGCGGAACACATGGCCAAGTTGAAAACATAGGCCAAGAAGGCTGTCGTTGGAGGGGGCAAGGCTGCCCATGCCTTTTCGAAGAAGCAGGTGTCTTGTCTCTCTGGGCGTGGCGGCGACGGCGGCGATCTTCCAGTGGCTGGACAGGTCGCGCTGCGTCAGTTATTGGATCAGTGGGTCCCTATGTGGCAAGTGGACGGTCGTGGGCCTCACCTCTCCACCTGGGAAATACCACCAGACGAACCTGACCTCGCCCCCCTTCGGCTCTCAGGCTTGCGTCGAGTGTGCCGCAAGTACAGCCGAGGTGCTGGGCTCGGCTGGGATGGTTTTCACCCTGGGTGGGTATTGCAGCTGCCCGAGGGTCACCAGATGCGCCTCCTGGAGATCTTAATTGTTTTTGAGATTGAGCCAGCCTCGGCATTCATGTTCCTGACCAATGTTGTTTTCTTGGACAAGCCGACGGGTGGGGTGCGGCCTGTTGGGCTGCTATGTTTCTCCATGACGCTCTGGGGCCGCTTGAGGCAGCCATAGTGTAAGTCTTGGGAGAGATCGCACGCGTTCCAGTTCTTCTGGGGATCAGGACCCGATACAACGTGTGAGCGAGCTGGGTGGGTCCACGACCTCTTGGGAGCCCACTTGTAAGGCCTCGGGGTTCTGCTCAGCTTCGGCCCTCCTGGACTTAGCCAAGTTTTACGAGAAAGTGGTTCGCGATCACTTGTTAATTGCCGCCAAGAGATTCCACTTTCCTGTCAGAGTACTGCGAGGGTACTGCTGTATCTACGCTGGCTTCCGCGCGCTCCTTTACGGTGGGGCAGCCTCGGAGGCTATTCGCGCTAACGGCGCAGTTGTTGCAGGTTGCTCAGGAGCGACCACTGTCGCCAAGATGTTGCTTTAGGCCCGTTGCTGGAGGCACGTGCGCACATGCACCTGCTGTACATGCGTAACGTCGTGGACGATATCACATTGCAGACATGTGGGCCTAAGCTCCAAGTCGCCACTCAACTGGCAGGAGGAGTTCTTTCGTTGTTCAAGTCATTTACGGAGTTGCAGCTCCCAGTCGAGTTTAAGAACTGCGCTTACCTTTGCACCAGGGAGGTGGATCAGCACCTACGCGGGCTCTGGACATTGCCTGCGGCGTGCAGAACCGATTCGACCAGGACCCTTGGGACCAACGCTACTCTTGGAGGAGTTCGGAGGATCAGCATACAGAACACTCGGCTTTCGAAGGCGTCGTCCAGAGCTCGTCGGCTGCAGATTTTACAGAGCGCGGGGCGGATATATCCATGGTGCATCGTATGGGGCCCACTGCAGTGGCTTTATGGGGCTCTAGTGTATCGGGCATTGCACCTACTCGAATGGCAGTGCTCAGGATTTCAGCTGTATCATTTTTGGGGCGCCTTCCGCGCGGGGCCTCGGTGGGGCTCAGGATGTGAACATGCGACCTGGGGCCCAAGATAGACCCTTTGACGGTGTACGTGGGGCATGTGATGTTTATGTGGGCTACGGCGGTTTGGGAGTCGGTCCCGAATGCACAAGTTCTGGCCAATGCGATGCAGTGCAGCAGGGCTAAGTTGTCTAAGATGGATCATCCTTGGCGCAGCTGTGCATCGCCTTCGGATGTCGCCCTGCTCAGCCTCAGGGGCATAGGCTGGGACTTTAAGGACAGCACCCACATCGTGTCAGACCGCGGAGTCGAGTACAACCGGTTGCAGTTGTCCCCGATGCAAGTACGAGGTTTAGTTAGGCAAGGGGCTTCTCGGGAATCTGACCGTCATGCCCTCAGCACCCAGAACGGCCCGAATGGGCCCCCGTTGTTTCCAATCTTCTGGAGTGGCATTCGTAAGCTGACGAAAAGCAAGGCGGCCTCCTGGACGAAGCATCATCAGAGGTGTCTCCGAGGTCTGGTGGCAGGTGTACACTGGCCGCAGGCGAGGCTGTGCAATCATGGGCTGCATCCTGATCACCTTTGCCAGCTCTGTCGAGGAGCACCTGGTACATTGTGGCAGCGTCAGTACGAGTGTCCTGCTCACGAGCCCCTCCACAGATATCATGTAGGACACAGACTGAAACAATGTGCTGCACGCGTAAAAGAGCTGCCAATCCTCAGTGAGAGGTTTGCTCGAGGGATTTTCCCGATCCTCAGGCCCTTTTCGAGCTCCCAGAGGTTCAAGAGACCATCCAGTGGCACAATCGTCCCTCGTCGGGTGGGCTTTCAGGTCTCCGGTTCCTCGACGGGTCCACCAAGTGGGCCAACCTGGAGGGCATGTCTAGAGCTGGGTGGGCGATATGCAGCGTTGATCGGCTTGGAAATCTGATTTCAATTGTATATGGACTTGTGCCTGCGAGTGCCGCTCCTCAGCAGACCAGTAAGGATGGGGAGGACTACGCTGTACATATGCTGACGCAGTTTGGTCTTCCCCCGTTTCAGTTGTATATAGGCTGTCAGTCAACTTTGGATTCCTTGGCCAACGGTCCTGGGAGTTCTGTTGGTCCTGGGGCGCCGAGGGGTCATCTCTGGGGCCCGTTTTGGTCCGCGTTTGGCCAAGGGGACTTTGAAGCTTTTAAGACCAAGGCACATGCGACGGCCTCCGATGTCCAGTCTGGAGTCACCACGGTGTGGGAGCAGCGTGCGAATCAGCATGCTGACACCTTCGCCAAGGCTGGCGTCGATCTGCATGGGCGGACGGAGGAATATATGCATTTGTGGCGAGGCCTTCGGAGCCTGGCCATGGAAGCTGGGAGATGGGCGGCTTGTCTAGAGGTGGCCCTCTCGTCTTTGCCAGGGGGGGGCACCACTGGCCTGGAGGCCTCAGCCGTGGCCTCTCCGCCCCCAGCGCCTGCCGCCGCTGCTGCTGAAGCCGACCTCTCCAGCCAGACAATGGCTGAGGACGGGCGGCCCTCGGTGGCGGGGGGGGACTTGGGGGATTGGGACTCGTTTGCCCTCCTGGTGTTCCTTGTCAACGGCCGCGCCCTGCTTGGGGCTGGAGTTTTGGATGCTGTAGGGAACACCAAAGGGGGGGCTTCAGTTCTGTGTCAAGTGCGGTAGTTTTTGCTCGGGGGGGAACCCCTCGAAAGGATTGCTCGGCCCATGTAGACCCAAGACGGGTGCCACGGGAGGGCTCAGTGATCAGTTGAGGAGAACTCGTCAGTCGAAGTTTCCCTCGTATAAGCATGTCCTGAAGGGGCTGCTCCTTGGGCCCCATGTGGGCCTCACCCTCGCTGAGCGGCGGGCCCTGGCGACTTCGGTGTTGTCGGGTGGTCCTGCGGCCCCGCGGGGTAGCCTTTCAGGTACACTCGACTCCCAGGGCGGGTACGCCTGCAGGGAGCAGGTTTTGGATTCCTTTGGGCTCGTGGAAGCCGACTTCGCTTGGGTCAGGGACCGCGGCGTGGCCTCCGCGCGCCCAAGGGCCCCTCTCGAGGAGGAGACCGATTCGGACGCGTCCGATCTGGTCTGATCTTGGATTTTCGGCTTCAGGCCCGTCCCCAACAAAAAAACCTCCCTCCTCTTCCTCCTCCTCCTCCTCCTCCTCCTCCTCCTCCTCCTCCCTCCTCCTCCTCCTCCTCCTCCTCCTCCTCCTCCTCCTCCTCCTCCTCCTCCTCCATCCCCCCTCCTCCTCCTCCTCCCGCGCCCGTGCCGCGCCCGCCGCCCCCAGGTGGCAGAAGCAGGCCTCCGGGGCGTGCCCCTCCCGCGTCTCCATCGTCAGCAGCAGGCCGGCGGCCCCCCCGGCACGCCCCGAACCCAGAGATCCGACGTCGTGGTTTTTTCAATACGCGGTCCCCCGAAGTCTCGACCCATTCCCCAGGACCGGTTTCTCATCTTGAGTCGTTTTTTGAAGGTCCCGGGGCCCGGCGAGGGCCCCTAGAGGCCGAAAATCGAGAAAAACCTTCGTCTTGATTTTGTCAATACGTTGGAGGTCTGGGAACCCTGCTGCCGCGGCGCCGGCGGCCTTCGGGGGCTCGAGGCCCTCGAGGCTCCAGCCAGCATCGGCCGATCGTCGATCCGAGGATATCGAGGATATCCAGGGACTGAGAGCCTCGATCGGTTCGATCGAGGATCGAGCGATGGAGCGATCGTCGGCGCGAGGCTCGGGGCTCCTCTGGATCGGGGCGCGGGGATCGAGGAGCGAGGGTCGATCGGTCGATCGAGGATCGAGCGTCCGAGCGATCGGCGACCGGCGATCGATCGATCGAGGCTCGAGGATCGATCGGCGATCGGGGCTCGAGGATCGGGGCGGGGGAGAAGCGCGAGGGAGCGGGCAGGCAGGAGAGGAACACACGTACTAAGGGGCGCAGGCGACGGGCGTCGGCGCTGCCGGAGGTCCGTCAGCTGGCACAGGCTTCGGAGCCACGTGAAGCCGACTCCGCCTCCCTTGCCTCGAAGAACGGGCGGCGAGCGAGTGGGGGGAAGTGAGAAGGAGAAGGCCTTCTCAGAAGGCGGCGGGACTTCCCAGAGGCCCTCGCGCCTTCGGAGAAGTTTTTGCCTGTCTTCGGGGAGGGCTCGGGAAGCTTCTCAGAAGGCTCTGGGACCGTCGAGCCTTCTGAGAAGGCCCGCACCTTCTCACTTCCCCCCCTCGCTCGCTGCCGAGTACAGCACTACAGGCTCGGAAAGGTTTTCTCCTTACGCCGCCACATGGCCCAATGCCGCATACCAGGAGGATTTGTATGAGCGATGGTTGCACTATGTGGTGCAGTGGCTGGCCGAACACACTGCGCTTCGGATGTCCACACCCACTGCCCCGGTTATACTGTAGCACAGCAGTGCGGAATGCTGCTATGCGCGCAGCGTGCCAAGTCGAACCAGGGGCGTTGCAAGAGCTTCGCGGAAACCAGGGGCGTCTCACGAGAAGAAAGACCCAACCCAAGCCAAACCAGGCAATTTGTGAGGACGTCTCATGCGGAACCAGCCCCAAACCATGCCAACCAGGCAAATTGAGAGGACGTCTCAAGCGCAACCGGGCCCACACCAGGCAAATTGCGAGGACGTCTCAGGCTAAAGGGGGCCCAAACCAGTCCAAACCAGGCAAATTGTGAGGACGTCTCAAGCGAGACCGGGCCCAATCCATGCCAAACCAGGCAAATTGTGAGGACGTCTCAGGCTACACCCCGAATCAGGCAAGTTGTGAGGACGTCTCACGCAAAAACAAAACCCAAACCAGGCCAAACCAGGCAAATTGTGAGGACGTCTCACGCAAAATGGTGCCCAAACCAGGCCAAACCAGGCAAATTGCGAGGACGTTTCAGGCAAAACCGGACCCAAACCAAGCCAAACCAAGTAAATTCTGAGGAAGTCTCAAGCAAAACCGGACCCAAACCAACCCAAACCATGCAAATTGCGAGGACGTCTCAAGCGAAACCGGGCCCAAACCAGGCCAAACCAGGAGGCAAAACCAGGCAATTTCGGAGGATGGCTCAGGCGTTTTGCGGCGCCGAACCCAGCCAAACCAGGCTAAACCAGGCCAAACCAGGGCCCAAACCAGGTAGACTTCTCGAGGACGTCCCAAGCAGAATCGCCCAAAAACAGGCTCCACCCATTCTCCTTAATACAATGAAATTCGAATTACAGGAATGGATCCACCCAGGGCCCGCGCCATTGCTTTTTGTAGTGGGTCACGATTGGGGAACGAACCAGATATTACATGATCTTATGGGAGGCTGGAAGAAGCGTGTGTTGCCATTGAACTACTGGCAAACATTCAAACTATTGGAGAATTCTGCGGGGGGCGGGTTGGGAGCAGCGCGTTTCATACTGACTTCTTTTAGGGGGACAACAAAAAAAGATATTCAAACAGTCTCTGGGAGGCTGCGGTCGGCGCATGCCTTTTTCAATTCCTATTGAGCAGCGAACAGGAAATTGAATACTTGTGCGGATGGCTGGGATCAGCGCGTGGTCTATGCATTATTCCGGGTCCTTAAAGATTCCGCGATCAGGATTCTTCAGGATCACCCAGACATCCTTTCGAACCCGGAGGGTTCCGGAGGGCCCTTCGGGACTCCAAATTTGTCCAGGATCCTTCCGGATTCCCATGGGTTCCCCAGGAAATTTGAGAAGCCCGCAGGAATCATCCATATTCGCGTGACTTCCAACAACTTCCTCGGGATTCCCCAGGATAACTCAGGGTAGTTCAGGATTGCTGAGGGTCCCTGGGGATTTCT